GTTTTTAGTTCTAATGTTGGCCCCGGTCTGTTGGTCTTGTTGGCCCTGTTCTGTGAGTCCTGTTGGCCCCGGTCTGTTGGTCTTGTTGGCCCCGGTCTGTTGGTCTTGTTGGCCCTGGTCTGTGAGTCCTGTTGGCCCCGGTCTGTTGGTCTTGTTGGCTCCGGTCTGTTGGTCTTGTTGGCCCTGGTCTGTTGGTCTTGTTGGCCCTGGTCTGTTGGTCTTGTTGGCCCTGGTCTGTTGGTCTTGTTGGCCCTGGTCTGTTGGTCTTGTTGGCCCCGGTCTGTTGGTCTTGTTGGCCCCGGTCTGTTGGTCTTGTTGGCCCCGGTCTGTTGGTCTTGTTGGCTTGCTGTCTCTTTATGCCAACAGCAGATTTGCTGTTTTGGTCCCAGCAAGCAACACACACTCCTCATAAATGTGCAGCATCAACCGAGACGTCTACCTTCTCCCATATCATCCTAACAAACCCTTTCAGGACCTGGAAGAATGATGACTTCAATCCCAGACAGCCTTCTTTGATCAGTTCTTCACACCCTCTGAATCAGCTCAGTGACTTTGAGACTCACCAACATTATTGAGGGCGCTGCCGGTGGATGGAGAGACTTGGAGGAGGCGTGGGTCGATGAACGGAGTGAAGGAGGAAGAAGACTTGTGTTTCTGCATGTTGTTACTGGACTGACTCTACAAGGGGAAACAAACAAAATTAATGGTGACAGAACATCACAACCTTGACTGGTATTATTTCAAAAAGACCAAAAAGACCATGACTGCACCTAAAATGGCAGGCAAACAGATATTTCTCTACATGGTGCATGCAAACACAATGAGCGTTCAAAGGATAAACAGAGAACAGAAAGGTAAAATAATGTGAAAGGGCAAAATAAGACACATGAATGTTGCTGACCAACTTAAAAAAACACAAGAATGGGGGGGAAATGCATCTCTAAGAGTATTTCCATTGAAAGCATACTTGCCATTGAACTCCTAACTGCCTTGTGTGCTATGACCTATTGTCTGGAGAACGTGAGAATATGAATTGTTTGTAGGAATTATGCAGCATCAGAGTATACAAGGTTTAAAKGATTTACAGGAAGTGCTCTGCATAATGCTTGTAAAAACAGACAGAAGAAACAGATCTCCCTGTAGGACATATCTTTAGTTCAGACTCTTTTGAAAAATAAAGTAAACAGAATATCTTGAGCTGCTGTTCAGCCAAACAAGAACAAAAAATAAAAGAAAACTAGTTAAATGTAGACCTTCATTTTCAGCAGAAGATTTTGCACTGAAAGGTAGACAAATGTCAGATCTGAGAAGTCTGTAGTTCCAGCAGTGGCCAGCAGAAATCACTAGACTCAGTCAGGGAAACAGGAAGTAGATTATATTTCGACAACAGTGTAAGGCCGACAGGTGACATACCTCTATGAGGAGGCCCAGCTTTTCCAGGGGACTCTGAGGGGACATAGCGGAAGGGCTGGCAAAGCTGGAGGAGGAAGGGGAGCTGGATGCAGAGGAAGAAGATGAAGGGGAGGAATGGTGGCTTTGCTGGATCAGATCTGGGAGGTGGTGGATGCGGCCAGCAAAGCCGTTCCGGTCCGACTGCTGTGTGGGGTGATGGTGGTGGTGATGTCGATGGTGGTGGTGGGGGCTGGGGGTGTGATGGCCCAGGCCCTGCCGCGGCACAGAGCCAGGGCTCGAGGCAAAGTCTGTTATCAGGCCTAGGGTCTGCGTTTGGCCCAAAGCGGGGGCCGYACGCTTTCTGCTGTCACCTGCGCTCTGGAAGTAGAAAGAAGGGTAGACTGTGGGTCTACATGTGTTCCTGATGAGTTCAGGGGAAGGAAATGTGTTAGCTAGAGCAAAGGGCAATCTACAGTGGCTATTCTACAGGTGGAAAGAAAACRTGTTAGTGGGTAACTGTAGTCTTTATATTATTGCCTCACTGTCTCAACAAAGACAAATGTTTTTAATTCTTTAGTAATGGTAAACATGTTTTATTACCAACTGATGAGAGAACTTCCAATTTCCTAAAGCACTTAAAATATAATAAACCTTTCGGAAGTCTGATTAACAAATTTAGATTAATTCTGCATAGCTTCACCTACCTTCTACATTTAACATCTACTTTTATTCATTTGCAACAGATGCTAGGACAAATCAGGGATTAACAGAACGTACAAAAAACAAATGAACACTTGGGACATGTACAAACAAATTCACCACGATGGAAGAACCATTTTCGGGCTGTAACGTKTCATTTTTTGTTTTGTTTTTCTTCTAACAGTACCTGTCTGACAACCAGAGTGCTGTCTTTGCACGGTGTCGTCCCTGCGTTGTTCTCGCCCTCGTCATGTACAATCATGGTTTTCATCGACTCTGTCTCTCCGTTACTCAGCTTGGAAGAACTGTGGAGGAGAAGAAACAGGAAGATCAGTTCTGGACACTAGTTGAGTCAAAGAAGAGGTAAACCAGCAGGTTTAAAATCTGTTAAAGATGAATCTGGTTCTTTCTTTTCAACTTAAATATTCAGGATCTTTTGAAGTGTGGTTCAATTCAAATTGTATCTCTGTTAAATAGCTCATTGAATGATCTCAGTTTAAAGAGAGTTTAATGTGGACCAGACTGACTCTCTTTCATGAGCATTAACCCTTTAGGGCCCAGTTTAAAAACAGTGACTAAATGTGGTAAAAACAATTATTTCAGTGATTGAGAGGAAGTTTTTATTTGATGGTTGCATTTTTTTAAATGTTCTTTTATGTCTACAAGAGTAAGAGTTCTTCTAAAGGTCTAATGATTATTTTAAAGGACATAATTTGAACATTTTACTGATAGCCTGTTTTATTTAAAAATATAACTTTCTAATATAGATAAGACATGTTAAAAAATACAAATATTGATGCTAAGTAGTGCCTTGTTCTGGAGGTGTGTATGGTATGTATGTGCTGCAAATTCATACTGCCCAACCAGATTTTACAAAAGGGAAATATAACTTTCTGATACAGGTAAGATATGTTAAAATTACAAATGTTGTTGATGCTAAATAGTCCTTGTTCTTTGAGGCTAATAAACAAGGTGTCTTTTTGCCTCTGTTTTCTTAGCATAGAATACCCAGAGCTATCAGTCTACTTCTGAAACAATGCAATAAATTTCACAGCGGAGGTGCTGTGGCTTAGTTGGTCAAAGTGCCTGTCTCGTAAACAGGAGATCCTGGGTTCAAATCCCAGCAGCACTTGTAATCATTACATGTTTGATGCAGTTTGATAGTTAATTGTACTGAGCATAATAGTGATATTCTGATGTGTATATATGGGCTATAAATTTGTACTGACACACCATATGAATGGACAAATTGTCAATGTGAGTTTTGTATTCAGGTAAAACATGGTCAAAATTACAAATGTTGTTGATGCTCAACAGTCCTTGTTCTTTAAGACTAATAGAGAAGGTTTCTTTTGGCCTCTGTTTTCTTAACATATAATACCCACAGTCATCTGTCTTCTTCTGAAACAATGCCATGATCTTTGCTGCAGAGGTGCTGTGGCTTAGTAGGTGAAAGCTCCTGTCTTGTAAACAGGAAATCCTGGGTTCAAATCCCAGTAGAACCTGTTATCACTCCAAGCTTGTTTGTTAGGTGATTGGACTGAGCAGAATAGTGATAATCTGATGTATGTATGTGCTATAAAGTTGTACTGCCCAACCATATGATTGAACCAAAGGGAAATGTGACTTTCTGATATGGGTAAGACATGTTAAAAATACAAATGTTGTTGATGCTAAATAGTCTTTGTTCTTTAAAACCAACAGAGAAGGTCCCTTTTTGCCTCTGTTTTCTTAACATAAAATACCCACAGTCATCTATCTACTTCTGAAACAATGCCATAAACTTCAACACAGAGGTGCTGTGGCTTAGTTGGTGGAAGTGCCTGTCTCATAAACACRAGATCCTGGGTTCAAACCGCAGCAGTACCTGAAATCATTACATGTTTGATGTGAAGGTTTGACAGTTAATTTTACTGAGCATAATAAGGATATTCTGAAGTATATATCAGCTAATAATTTGTACTGAGCCACCAGATGATTGGAGTGAAGGCCAGTGTGTTTTTGGCTCTGTTTTCTTAACGTAGAATACTCAAATGCAACTGTCTGTGTCTGAAACAATGCCAGAAACATCACAGCAGAGGTGCTGTGGCTTAGCTGGTCAAAGCACTAGAGAYCCTGGGCCAAATCCCAGCAGTACCTGTAATCWRTCTAAATTTGTGGAGGTTTGATTGGTGATTGGGTTAAACYGAATGGTGATATTCTGATATATGTAGGGACTCCAATCAATTAATCATTGTGTAAATTAACAGGTTGCATTAACAGATGTTTGCTGGTCCTGTTTTTTTATGCTTGATTAATACATACACAGCTTTGGAGTCYTCTGGGCCAGAAGTCGACTCTTCACCTGCCTCCTGGTCCACTTCTTCATCATCATCCTCATCTGTGGTGTCAGAGTCTTCACTGGAGGAAGAGTAATCTGTCACCTTGTTCTGAGGACGAACATCATCTACTGCRCGCAGTTCCTTGGCCAGGGCGGTCAGGTCCTGAGGAGCATGAGGGGAGAACAGATTTCAACTCTAACTGAAGTCATATCTTTCAGTCCACCGGAGTTTGATTCACTTGTTTTATCTGTCTGCTTTATGTGCTAGCTGTTAGCAGAGATGTTAGATATTCTTTTAAGATGTCTTTAGTAAAGCAGGAGTGCTACAGGACGAAAAGGAGTTAAATGTCAATCAATGAGAAGTGAGAGGAAGAAAGCCAGAGTGAAGCGAGCAGTGAAATGACTGCAGAGGATACAGCTGATCTTCACACTGCAGGGAGGGAAGGTTAGTGGATTAATCCTGTCAATAAAACAACTATTAGAGCTGCAAAGATGAAAAGGTAAATTATTTATTAAAGTTACAGAAGCTGTGAGTTATAATGACAGACGAGCAGCCAGAGGAGTCAGCATGAAGTCYGGTCAGATCAGACAGTGAGCAGATCACAGACATGACTCAGAGGAAAAACAGAGAATCAAGTGGAAATGTCCAACATTTCTAATTGTTACACACCAACACACAGCTACACCTAAATCTACATCAGCTGGAGCGCTACGCATCGTCTCAGCCTCAGCTTTACTCTCACCGCTGGTCTGCTGGGCCTGACCAAGTCCTTCCTCTCTTCAGGTTTTTTCCCAGCATGCTCTGGTCGTTGGAGGGGTGAACCCTCTGATTTGGAGGAAGCTGAAGAAGGTGGAGGTGTTAAGGTCAGTTTCACTACAATTATAAACAATCGACTGCTAAAACTGTGTAACTACACCTACATATGTATTGATGTAAGTTTTATAAAGTGTGTTCAGCTGTGTGTGTGAGGTGTGTTTTCTGAGTGCTGCTTGGACTCACAGCGGGCCCTGAACCTCTCTCCAGAGCCACAGTGAGAACTGGGCTGAGAGCTGGAGTTACTGGAGCTGCTGGAGGAACTGGAGCCTCCGCTGCCACTATTACCAGCTGTTCTGGGAACCAGTTTTTCCACTCGTTCCCACAGGAGCCGAGGCTCTGCTGAGCTGCAGAGGCAACACACACCACAGTGAAAACATCAGGGAGACTAGTGTACAGACTCACACTGTCTGCAGCAGACAAGTCACTGGATTTTATAACCAGCAGAAAACATTTTTTAAAAGATAAAAATGCAGAATTATCCTTTCATGTTGCAATATTTGGCTTAATTTGTTTTTTTTTTTCATGGTTTATTAGTTTTTTTTCATTAAAAATTATATTTGACCTGATTTATAAATTGGATCAACATTTTTAAGCTTTTAAGTGCAAGAAATTTTAGAGCCTGAATTATAGGAAAGACACATTGTAAAAGAGATTGAGTGCCTACATTTAATTATTGTGATGCATAAACCATAAACACCATAGATTATTGCTTTGTAATGATCAATACAGAACAATTACAATAAATAAAAAACATTACAAAGTTTAGTTTTGAATGTCAAAACTACCAAATTGCTCTGAGGGAAAAGTAGTGAGCTAACAGAATCAATGTGGAGGCGGAGAGAGCTCAATAAATATGTATGTTTGAGCTTTTTAAAATGTTCTCAGATTATTAAAGAAGCAATGAGGTGAGACAGGTGTTCCACAGGTGTCCCTACACTAATCCTCAGGCAGAACCACCAGAGACAAATAAACTGAAACATGGTCTTCACTGCAGATTCTAACTAAATTACTTGAGTCTGTCAAAAAGAAAAATCAGTAGKTCCTCTGGATGGTTCTTCTTYAGTGAAACGTTTCGTCTCTCCTCCAAGAGACTTCTTCAGTCTGATGAGTTTCAGGTGAACTCAGCCTTATAAGCTCCGCCTCCACATGGACAAACAGGTTAGTCACATGTAAAAGAGGGCCATCGACTAACAATAGGCTTGATTAGCTAACCAAGCCTATAGTTAGTCGATGGCCCTCTTTTACATGTGACTAACCTGTTTGTCCACCACGTGGAGGCGGAGCTTATAAGGCTGAGTTCACCTGAAACTCATCAGACTGAAGAAGTCTCTTGGAGGAGAGACGAAACGTTTCACTAAAGAAGAACCATCCAGAGGACCTACWGAYTTTTCTTTTTGATTTTTTTCTACCTGGATTACTGAGGCGGTTTCAAACTGCACGGTTCAAATGAAAAGCGTTGATGCATGGCTGAAAGCATCCAAACCTTTAGACTCCTTGTAACGAATCATATAAGAACATAGAACTTCTCTGGGCTCAGTTTACGTCTTGAGTTTATAAATAACCAGAACATCTCTGGATATTATCTTTGCTCATTTAAGACTAGTTTCCAGTTTTACATTACTGTTTGGCTATTGATGAATTTATATTTTTTATGTATCATTTTAAGGTATTTTCAGACTGTAAGCACTTTCTAACACGCTTAAAATATAAAACCTTCTAGAGTTGTATAAATTGTTGACTTGATTTACTTTTAAATTAAGTAGTTTTTTTAGTTATTTTCATAAAGTCATTTTCAGCCTTTTGTTTTTGTGTTCAAGTTTCTACAAGTTAAAGACTGTGTATTTGTAAAATATTAAAATGTCACTGTTAGTTTTCAGCATGTTAACCCCTCCTGTGCTGGTTTACCTGGCAGCGTTTCGATGGACCACATCCCTGGTGGGAGGGGTGTTGCTGTGGTGATGAGGCGAGTCTCGCCTTGACAACACTGGAGACCTGGAAGTGGTCCTGACAGGAACCTTTTATGATAAAAACAGTGAGCAGCTGACATGTGCAGACTCTGCAATCAAATGTGTCCATTTATTATTCCAAGAGTCACAATTTTCACCGCTGCKGAATTCGTTCACTGCAAATGTTCAGAGTTTACTGAGCACAACGTAGACAAGGTCAATGTGTTGCAAACAAAACAAGTTTTTTTTAATAAACCAGAGATTATTCTGTAATTAATCTCATATTGTAGTAAAGCCCAGGTAATCCTTGGTTTGCATTCTTGGTAAAAGTGACAGATGTTTAAAATCCATATTTGTTCAACTTTAAACACAAACACTGTTCTAGATGGTTCTAMACTTGCTGTTGTCTTTAACAAACACAGATGAGTACGGTCAGACACCAGCTCTCACATGTGCAGCTCTGCTTTCTGTAGCATCAGGGTCAGCATGAACATGCAAAACAAAGCGTCCAGCAGTTTTTACTGTAAAGGTTTGTGTTACAGGATGAAGTGATGATGTTTAAAGGTTCAGAGGAACACGCTGTCCTGAAACGTATCTTTTATTTGTTTCTGCTTGGACTGAACAGAACAGACAGCGTCCACTGGGGGGTGGAACTATTTTGTTTGTGACAAACTGTTTTTCTCTTTTTGGTTGACAATAAACTTTAGTTTTGTGGCTCTTTTTAAATTTGTGTAACTTTTACTATAAACAGCTTTTTTGCCCCTCCTAAAGACTGGTTTTGTTCTGTTGAACAAAAATAAACTGTTTTCTACAAACAGCTTGTCTTGTTCCAATAGAAACTATTTTAGTCTTTTTTAMCACAACAAACAAATCATTTTGTACCAAATAATTCATGCTTCATACAATCCTATCGTTTTCATTTTTGTCTATTTAGTAAAACTGAGAATTTAGTTCTCTGTAAAATGTCAATTTATGTAGCACAGAGATTCTTAACCCATGGTCCGCGGCCAGATTGTGGGCCGTGAGCGCCACCTTGAGGGCCTCAAAAGAACAACAGTTTTTAACTTTGGGCC